CTGGAAATGAAGGCGTTGCACAAGTAATTGGCGTTGGCGATAAAGTTGAAAATATAAAAGTTGGTGATTGGGTCGTTATGGGTAAATCTGCGTTTGGTAAGTTTAATGATTAAAAATGAAATTTGAATAATATTGAAAATTTTATTAAAATTTTTACATTTGTTAATAACCAACTAGGAACATGGCGAACACATGCTGATGCAACACCAGATGATGTTATTCGTATTCCACATGAAGGAATTGGAATAGTTCGAGCTGCTACTTTAACAGTAAACCCTTGTTCTGCTTATCGTATGCTAAAAGATTTTGTTACATTGAAAGAAGGTATACACATGGATAGATATTTTATATTTATTTTTTACTATTTCGATTAAATATCTTATTACATTATATTTATTTAAACGCTTTTTAGGCGATTTTATAATTCAAAATGGGGCAAACAGTGGTGTTGGACAAGCAGTGATTCAAATTGCTAAGGCATGGAATATAAATACAATAAATATTATTAGGGATAGGTTAATAGTTTGTATTTTACAATATTTACTTTACATTGTTTATTTTACATTATTTATGATATAGATTTAATATTTATATTCAATTAATTCTAATTTTTTCAAAGGCCAAATTTTCAAGAGTTAAAAGATTTCTTAAAATCGATTGGTGCAACATATGTAATCAGCGACAAAGATTTACAAGCAAAAAATCATGAATTTGAATGGAATAAGAATATGGAGGGTAAAGGAATTGTTTTAGGTTTAAATTGCGTTGGTGGCAAAAGTGTAATTTCCATGGCAAAACTTCTCAGGTTATTAATTTTATTTACAAAGTTAAGATTTTTATAAAGTTATTTTTCCTCAATTTTTTTTTTCTTAAAAATAGAAATTCTTCTCCGTTAATAACATATGGAGCAATGTCACGTCAACCTTTAACGATTCCAGCATCGCAATTAATTTTTCAGGATTTAAGATTTTTTGGATATTGGATGTCAAGATGGAATAAAGAAAATCCCAAAGCAAAAAGAATAGAAATGTTGAATGAAATTATTGAGTTGATTAAACAAGATAAGTTAAAAGATGTCGTTTGTGAAGAAAATAATTGGGGCGGAAATAAGAAAGATGTAAGTGACGATGCATTGACGCAAAGATTTTTGGAGATATTTAAAAAGGCTACGGAAGAGTTTAGAGGTGCAAAACAGATTATTAAGATGATATAGTCTTTTTTTCATGCTCAATAATATTGAGTTTGAATGTACATACTAGCTCATATAAATTCAAAGAAAATATGTCAGTATTTGTATATTTGCAATTAATTTCTATAAAATTTATATTCTATTTTTTTTTTACTATGCTGATGAAGTATAAAATTACAAAATTCAAACAACTCAAATAGGGTTTCTGGCCGTAAGTAATAATTACGGATATTACCTGGTTTGCAATCCTCATTACAACTAAAACTCGATGTTGTAATATGCCGTAATGATTGTAATTGTCGTAATGCCATAATGGTTGTAATTGCCATAATGGTTTTAAATGCCGTGATAAATTTGTAATTGTCGTAAAAAACATAAGTAATTGTGTCTTACACGTCCTTACAAACGTGCAATAGCTTCATGTTTGTGTGCTTGTATAAGCAAGCCAATCAGAATACTTATAACACAGATAGGCGCATTGTAGAAATTTACATTATAACTCTAGTCAATCTGTGAATCATTTGGTCTGATTCAACAACCGTTCTAGTAGTGTTCCGAAAAAGATTCGGACCCGATCCGGATCCGATCCGGATCCGCTTACGGATCGAGTTCGGATCCTTTATTTTTGGATCCGTATAAAATTCGGATCCACAGTGGGATCCGATCGCGTATACCCGATCCGGATCCGTAAGAATATTGCACGATATCGAACGCTGATTGGTTGTGCTTTTTTTTAATATTACTATTACAATCCATTTTTTTAACAAATCGGTAAGCTTTTGTTGGCTAAAGGGTTCACGATAATGGCTTTGATTATTCAACATATCTAAAACACTTGGACCCACTCCTACACCCCCTTCTACACTTGATTCTCTCAATTCAGGCACTTTTGCTTTATGCCTCTTGAGATGTTTTAGAAAATTCGATATTGTTCCGTCATTATATATTAACGTAGTATTGCAAATACCGCATACCGCATTACCTTTCCTCTTTTTAAAATACTTTCACACAATAGATCTATGAAATAAAAAAAAATTAATAAAATAAAGGATGTCTGCATAATATTTGACATACTTTACCCTTGAGATGATAATTCATTAGGGCGCGATTCATCAGGGTGTTCTTCAGGGCGTTCTTCAGGACGCTCTTCAGGGCGCTCTTCAGGACGCTCTTCAGGGGCTCTTCAGGGTGTTCTTCAGGGCGTTTTTCAGGGCATTCTTTAGAGCGTTCTTCAGGGTGTTCGTCCAGGTATAATTCAGCTTGGTATGACTCATTTAAATATAATTCATCTTGGTAGGATTCGTCTACATATAAATCATCTGGATTCAATTCATTTTCGTACAATTCACCTGTGTATTTAAGTGATTCACTTTCTTGAAATTCTTGGGAAGGGGCCAACATGGTTGGCCTTCTTCAAATGCATGAAAGTAGTAAGAAGTTGATTAGTATTTCGATCAGAAGATAATCCTTCCAGCTGTAAGGTTTTATAAAGCATAGTTTTACATACAACCTTGGCTTCGTTTTAATTTTTTTTTTTTTTTTTTAATTAAAAAAA